CAGCTGTCGGACTAGTGGCTTAGAAATGACAGAAGTCTGAAGTTGGTTGCAGTTTTTTCCATCTCACCTTGTAGAAAGAAATGTAATTTTCGTCCACTTTCTCTCAATATTTGTGAACAAACAATATCAAACGATTTTATATTCCTGAATTAGTCACATTATCCTACTGTTTCTCAACCATCCAACTACCACAAAATTTCCCAAGGGGCCCTGCAAATATTGTTTTCACTCATTGCTGTTATATCTTGAGGTTATAAAATGGCTCAAATACACACGATAACGATAATAAAACACAAATGTACTAAAACAAATGGCAAATATGGCCGGCAACTTGTTGGTTGGTCTGATGCTGGAGGCTAGGTGATGAAACATAAATTGCCGTCATTGACTGATGTTTTGCGAAGACAATAATGCAGACCACAACAGCTACAAGAGAAATGGCCATAAACAAAGAAATTTCGGCATAAATTAACGATGTGCTTCGTAATTAAAGTTAAGATGGCCAAGATATTACAACAATTACTGTGTTAATATCTTAATTTGGCCACACGAACATAAAGTCAAATGTCCTTGCCGCTAGAAAGAGAGAGAGAGAAAACGAATAAATGAGCAAACGAAGAACATTTATTTTATTAGGTTTCTTGCCCGCTTTTTTGTTTGTTTGTATGGTACTAATTACCAACATAATCATATATGTACATACTTAACAAACAAAAATATATGTATGTTGATGTATGATTTTATGTCCAAGTCTTGTACGCAATTGGTATGATCCTGTAATTTGCGAAATTTAAGACAAATAAATCAACATGAAAATGCCGAGGTTAGCAAAGAGGTCCCTTTGCTAAAATATTTGTGTAGAGAGTTCTTAATATGGGACAAGCCATACCTATATTTGTTCTCCTTGGAATAAATCGCACCTTTTCTGAAGTATTCTTAGTTCAAAGATCGCGGAGTTTTACAAGTAATTTTTTAAGGATCTCATAAACAAAAATCTTTGATTTTTTATAAAAAAAAATTAAGGATTTCCTGAACAAAGATCATTGCTTGTTTATGAGACATTTTTGGATTAATTGGATTGTTTGGTAAAAAACGGATTTTTTTAAATTCTAAGAAGTTATTTTTAGGATATCCTGAACTAAAATCAAACAATTTTTTGGAAGAACCTCATGAACAAATATTGTTTATAATACTTACTCAAAAAATGTAAGTTTTTGGAAATTTATACATTTAGAAATTTTTAGAATAATTTTGTAAGGACTTTTGGGTGCTCTTAAAAACATTAGTCAGCATTCCTGGCAAAAAGTAGAAGATGTTTTTCAATTATTTTGTAACACTTTGCAGCAAGTTTAAATTTGTAGAATATATTTCAAATAATTTCCAGCTATTTAAGAATTCACAGAATTCTTGGTTTTACAAGACATCTATTTTCAAGGACATTCCGAAATTCTATTGAATATTTTTTTTTTTTTTTTTGAATTATTAATATATTAACATCTTCATTAATTTTTAACAAAATATCTTCAAGAATATCGTTGTTCTTGAACATCCAAACCCAAACTAGTGGATTGTATAAGGTATTTTTTTTTTCAAAGAACTCCTGTAAGAATGTCGTGGATTTTTAAAGAAGATTTTTTTTAAGCACGCCAAACCAAAAATCGTGGACTTTTTATGGAACCAAAATCATGAATTTTTATTTTTAAAGGACTTCTAATCGAAAAAATTGAGTTTTTTAACGATCCAATAGCCGGGATTTTAAGGTCTTTCTTTTTTTTTAACTCAAATCTTAATTATTTTAAGAAATATTTTCTTTTTAATTGCTTTTAAAAATGTTTTGATAACATATATAGACTTTTAAAGAAAGTATTTCCAAATATCTCCTAAGCAAAGATCATAGATTTTTAAAACTCTTTTCGAAGAATCGCAGATATATAATATATATTTTTAAGAACACCCTGCACGTGTATCATTGTTATTGATTAAAGGATACTTTCAAGGACCTAAAGCAAACATCGTGATTTTTAATAACATATCTTCAAGGACCTCCAGAAAAACTGTTTAAAGAACCTCTTATACCAAAATAATGGATTTTTAACGTACTTTTTTCAAGGACCTTCTGAACATTTGTTTACGTTTTTCCGAGAACCATTTCAACGAGTATTGCAATTTCTAAAAACAATTCAAAGACTTTCTAAAAATTTTACATTTTTTTAAGAGTTTTTCAGGAATAAATAAGTGATTTTTTTTTCAAAAAATCAAAAACCTCCTAATTTAAAATCCTAATGTTTTGGAAACTTTTTTGTCCTTTGAAAAAAAAAAATCCGTGAATATTTAATAAATGACCCAATTTTTACGTCAAGGACCTCCGGAAAAAAATTTAAAAATTAACAAGGTGTATAAGAGCCTTCTGAAAAATGTTTATGATTTAGCAAAGAATAGGTGGCCTTTGTTTAAATTTCCTTCCAGGACCTTCCAAACAAAATTCTTAATTTTTTGAAGAACATTTCTTCAGGGGCCCTAATTTTTTAGAAATATATTTCTTGAGACCTCCATGGATTTTCCAAGAAAAATTTCTCAAGGACCTGTGAGTAAAAATCGTACATTAAAAAAAAAAACAATTTTCAATGATCTCAAACAGGGATTTCTTATAAATACAAAAATAAAGAAAAAAATCCTTCACCAAAATCGGGGATTTTGTAAAAAATTACAAAACATTTCAGAGAGAGACTATAAATTTCGCAAGACATTTTTGAATGAAAGACTTGAACAGAAAACCTGATTTTTTGTTTAAATGTATTTCAGGAAACTCTTTAACAAAAAATGTGGATTTTCAAAAAAAAAAAAAATTTTTCAAATCAAAAATTAAAACAGCTCCTGCAGAAAAATCGTTAATTTTGAGACAGTTTGTAAACCACTTCAGATCGAATAACACAGTAACTTCCTGATATCGTCGAGTTTTCCAAAAGTATTTTCAGCGGCAGCCAAAAAAGGAACTCCCAAAGTAAAATCCTAAATTTTTGATGTACATTTTTCATGGACCTCTTTCCAAAATTGTAGATTATTTAAGATTTTTTTTAAGGACAGCCTGTGAGTAAAAATCGTACATTAAAATAAGAATTTTCAATGATCTCAAACAGGGATTTCTTAGTAATAAAAAAATAAAGAAAAAAAATCCTTAACCAAAATCGGGGATTTTGTAAAAAAATACAAGACATTTCAGAGAGAGACCACAAATTTCGCATGACATTTTTGAATGAAAGACTTGAACAGAAAACCTGATTTTTTGTTTAAATGTATTTCAGGAAACTCTTTAACAAAAAATGTGGATTTTCAAAAAAAAAAAAAAAAAAAAAAAAAACAGCTCCTAAATCAAAATCGTAGATTTTGAGAAGGTTTTTAAACCCCTTTCAGATCGACGCAGTAACTTCCTGATATCGTCGAGTTTCCCAAAAGTATTTTAAATTGGCTGCCGTTGGACCTCCCAAAGTAAAATCCTAAATTTTTTATGTACATTTTTCATGGACCTCTTTCCAAAATTGTTGATTTCTTAAGATTTTTTTCGTAGATTTTTATGCAAAAATGTTAAAAAGATAAATATTATAGACATCTCCAACAGACACCTGAGTTTTCTGTGAATAATTTTTATGGACCTCTTAAAAAAAATTCGTGTATTTTTTATTGGAACATTTTCAAGGACATAAGAGACGGATTTTTCAAAAAAAGGACCTCCGAATTGAATTTTTAACAAAAGACTTACTCTAAAATTTTAGAAAAATGGTTGAGTTTTTGAAACAATTTACAAAAGGTAGAATAAAAAAATTAATTTTGTTTTACAAACATTTTTTCAATGACCAGCTGAACAAACTTCGTGGATTTTTCTGAAGGACTCGACAGAAGTTTTTAATAGCACAAGACGTTTATTGTTTATGTAAATTTTTGTTCAAGATCCTTTTCAACAAAACCATTGATTTTTCAAGAAATCGATTTGAAGATTTGATCCAAGAATCTTCTAAACTAGCATCTTAAATTTAAAACCTTTTCAAGATTGAGCTAAAAAAAAACATGGGAACTGAAAATAGTCCTGAACCAAAACTTAGTTTTTTTGATATTATTTCCAGATTATTATAGAATTTTTTTACGAAACTTCTGAAACAAATATTTTCTTAAAAGAATTTGTTTCAAAGACCCCAGAAGTGAAATCGCGATTTTTAGACAAAAATTTCTAAGGATCTCCTTGGCAAAGTCTTGGATTTTTCCAATTTTTTTTTAAAATGTCCTCATCAAAATCGAATTGTATTAAGAATTTTTAAGAAATAATAGCCAAATTTTAAATTTTTTTGTTCCTATTAAGAAAATCGTTTTTTTAAGAATATTTACTAATTTCTTATTTTATTAAGCTGTTTATTAAAATATTTTTAGTTTTTTATTTATTAAGCAATTTATATACCATCCATAATAATATAGAGGGTATATTAATTTAGTTATTTATTATTTATTTTTAACAATTAATTTTCATTGTATATTATTTGATATATTTGGTGTTTTAAATATATTTTATAATTTTTTTATTAAAAATAATTTTTTTTTCTCTTTTATTATTGTGTTTTTATATATTATTTATTATTTTTTAATTTTTGTATTATTCTTTTATTATTATTTTTTTATTTTTTTTTTATTTTTTACTAGTTACTTATTTTTTATTTTTATAATATATATATATATATATATATATATATATATATATATATATATATATATATATATATATATATATATATATATATTATAAAAATAAAAAATAAGTAACTAGTAAAAAATAAAAAAAAAATAAAATATATTTTATATATATTATAAATATATTTTATATAAGTTATTCTTTTTTTAATTTATTTTTTTTTCTTCTTTTTTGTTTTTGAATGAATACGTATAATCCTTCTTTACATTTTTCAAATTCAAAAATAACATATCAATATTCCCATTTATTTCATTTTCCATTGCAGCCAAACGACCACCAGTAGAAGAGACCGCTTCATTCTTGCAAAGTCTATTGGCATCACATGGACCCAATTACTTGGAAAAATTGTTCGGTAGTAAGGCTCGCGATGCTCTATCCCCGCTGGGTGGTGTAGAGAAGGTGGCCATTGCATTGAGTGAATCGCAAACGATTGAAGATTTCGGTGCGGCATTGCATTTAATGAGGTAAGTCGAGAGAGTAATGAGTAGGCGGATTAATACACACGCACTCAAAAGTTAATTTTTTATGGAATGAAATAAATTTCCATAAGAGAAAGATAGAGGGGGAGGGAGAAAGGAGAAGAAGGAAAAGAGGATATTAAAATACGCACTAAGTGGAATGTTACGCTTGGTTGAGAATTTCATTTATAAATATGAATTTACATAAAAAGGATATGAAATGGGGAAAATAATGCGTTCCGCTGTGCTGAACAAATATGCTTTCGCTTTCAAAAGTATTGAAAAGAAGAAAGAAATGTACAGTAGCGTAAACATATATAATTACATCCATAAATCAATTACATCCTTTCCGGAAAGCATATTAAGTAAGAAAAGTTGCCGTGACGTCTTTGTCTGAAATATGGCATATTTGAGATTTTAATTTTCAATAAAACTCACAATGTACCAATACAGACTTCGGAAAAAAAATTGAAGTCATATTTATAATAAGAAGCAAAAGTGAAATTTAATATTCAAAAAATTCAATTTACTATTTCAAATCGATTTTGGAAAAATCTCTTCACAAAAATCTTTTCCCACTCATTCTGTTTTTTTAGCCATAAGTTTCAATTGTTTAATTGTTTGTTTACAGAAAATCAGAGCACAAAGCATGGGGGCATATTTCACACGCTCCCCTACCCCTTTGACAACAAAAAAGAAAAGTGTTTAGGTTGCGAAACCATATAAAACCATATAACAAATATTCAACCCATTTTGTAGGATAATATGACGAAAACCTTGAAAACACTTGTATTTCGACCGTTGTTACCCTCTATGGAGAAGGTTCCTAAGGCTTGGTCCGAAATAGTTAATAACTCGCAGATATATATAATCTCCACAACAGATCTTGTGTTGGCAAAAATGTGTGTATGTGTGAAACTTGAAGAGAGTTGGATGCTTATTTCGCTTTCTTTGAGAGTTTTGTGCATCAAAATCATGAAGCCTATGCGGGGGAGGTACCAGAAGAAATGGTCCAATATTTTCCATTTTTATAGCAGATCTTGTGTTGATAGAAATATTTAAATGTGCCAAGTCTGAATGGAATCGGATGTTAATTTCGAGTTTTATGAGCTTCATGGATGTTCATAATTTTAACCCTTTGTGGGAGAGGTACTAAAAGAGTGCACCTCTATATACCATCTTCACAGCAGATCGTGTGTTGGTAATAATAATGGGATGTGTGAAATGTGAAGAGAACCGGATGCTTATTTCATATTTTATGATCGTTTTGGTTATTCAAAATGTTGACCCTTTGTGAGGGAGGTACAAGAAAGAATGGTCCGATCTCTACCATCTTTATAACAAATCTTGTGTTGATAGAAATATTGTGATGTGTCTGAATGGAATCAGATGTTAATTTCGCGTTTTATGAGCTTCATGGATATTCAAAATGTTACAATTTGTGGGGGGAGGTATAAGAAGGAGTGGTCCGTTGTATCCTTTATTCATACCATATCTTGTATTGATAGAAATATTAAAATGTGTAGAATTTGAAGGGAATCGGATTCTTATTTCGTATTTTATAAGAGTTATGATTATTATTATTATTTTTTTTTTTTTTTTTGAATTATTGGATGGAGTGGGCCGATATTGTCCATTTTCGCACTTGACCTAGCTCTGACAAAAATATTGAGATTTGCAAAGTTCGCAAATAATCGAATGATCCTTTCTCTTTCTTTGAAGTATAAAATTTTTCTTTGAAACTTGTGATCTATTGGGGTGGGAGGTACCAGAAGGAGTTCGCCCATCTCCGAACTCGCTCAAAGTTTGACAATAATAATGTATAATGCTTGTAGCAAATCGGATACTCCGTTCGAGAGTTATCGTGCTCATCAGCCAGACAGACAGACGGATAAACGAACATCCCTAGATCGACTCCAAATGTCCTGAAACTGCTTTGGTCCAATGAGACTTAGTGTATAAAACCGTTTTTCGATGAGCCACGTTTTGGCCGTATCGAATGACATATACCCTCTGTAGCCATATAGCTGAGGGTATAATTACAGCTCACAGTATGACACTAATTTTTAATGCGATAACCCCACAGCCTTGTGTTCCATTGCCTCCAAAATTTTTTTGGAATTTTCTAAGACCCAGACTGGCTATTCTATGACATTATTTTAAAATTCCTTTTTTATACCCTCCACCAAAAAAGGTATGGAGGGTATATTAAGTTCGTCATTCCGTTTGTAACTCATCGAAATAATCATTTTAGACCCAACAAAGTATATATATTCTTGATCAGCGTAAAATTCTAAGACGATTTAGCCCTGTCCGACCGTCTGTCCGTCTGTTGTAATCACGCTACAGTCTAAACGAATTAAGATAGGAAGCTAAAATTTTGCACAGATATCTCTTTTGTCTGCAGGCAGGTCAAGTTCGAAGATGGGTATATCGGTCCACGATATCTTATATCCCCCATATAACGGTACCCCCGATATTCGGTATTTTGATGATTTTACCCACATTTTTCATCGGAATTGTCTAAAAATCCACACAAGGAGTTCCTTGTGGGTACTTTATACCTCGGCAGAGAATTATCTATATAGGTCCACAATATCGTATAGCCCCTATATAACGGTACCCCCACGGAATTCGGTATTTTGATGATTTTAGCCACATTTTTCAATGGAATTGTCTGAAATTCCACAAAAGGAGTCCCTTGTGGACATTTTACCCCTTCAAAAAGAATTGTCTATATAGGTCTACGATATCGTATATCCCCCATATAACTGTACCCCCCGATATTCGGTATTTTGATGATAGCCACATTTTTCAATGGAATTGTCTTAAAATCCACTCAAGTAGTTCCTTGTGTGTACTTTACCCCCTGAGACAGAATTGTCTATACAGGTCCACGATATCTTATATCCCCCATATAACGGTACCCCCGATATTCGGTATTTAGGTTATTTTACCCACATTTTTCATCGAAATTGTCTGAAAATCCACACAAGGAGTTCCTTGTGGGTACTTTATACCTCGGCAGAGAATTATCTATAAAGGTCCACGATATCGTATAGCGCACATATAACGGTACCCCCGATATTCGGTATTTTGATGTTTTTAACCATATTTTTCAACGGAATGGTCACAAGGGGTTCTTTGTGAGCACTTTACCCCCCGACAGAGAATTCTCTATATAGGTTAACGATAACGTATGGCTCCCATATAACGATACCTCGCGATATTCGGTATTTTGAAAATCCACACAAGGAGTTCCTTATGAGTACTTTACACGCAGACATAGATTTGTCTTTATAGGTCTACAATATCGTATATCCCCACATATCGGGACCTTCTTATACTAGATATTTTAAAGATTTTAAAAGAATTTTTAATGGATTTTATTTTATTTTTTTTTTTAAATTTTCTAATTCGTTCCAAATGGTGGAGGGTATTCAAAGTTCGGCCCGGCCGAACTTACTGCTTTTTTACTTGTTATACCCTACACTACATTTATTACCCGATTGAGATTAAATTTTTCAAAAAGCATTTGTTTAACCTAAGTACGAACCTCATTGAAATCGGTGAGAATCGGATCAGATTTAGATATAGCTCCGATATATATCTTCAACTGTTTCAATTTCGAGTTAATTGTGCACTAAATTGTCAATATTAGTCTAAATGACCTGAATTTTGGTACATTCGACCGAATTAAGTCTAGAAGCAAGTACATCAAATTTGGTGAAAATCGGTTGATCCGATTTGAGGTTCAAAGTCTCATACATGCGTAATATACACTACACAACAATACTCTACTGCACTAAATTGCCAATATTAGTCTAAATGACCTGAATTTTGGTACATCCGACCGAATTCAGTCTAGAAGCAAGTACATCAAATTTGGTGAAAATTGGTTCAACCGATTTGAGTTTCTAAGTCCCTCACATGCGTAATATGCACTACACAAAAATATTCGTTGGTACCAGATATCGGATACATCTCAGAAATTTTTGGTGTTCGGTTCAGATAGGGAGTAATAGCTTCCCATAGATATGTTGCATCCCGTTTGATGTTAAAGTCCCTCAAATGCCTAATATGCACTCCACAACACTTATATTTGATACCAGGTATCAGATACTGCTCACAAACACATCTGCTAAATTTTATCGAGTTCGGTTCAGATTTTATATAGCCCAGATACACATCTTCATCCGATTTTATGCTTATTGCTCACCCATATCAGCCCAAATTGAGTAGACTTTTTCATATTGAACCAAATTTTACCATTTAGTGAAACTTGGTCCGGTATATCTATTGCTCCAATAAATATTTTTTAATGTAATCCTTATCGAAGTAATATCCTGCACTATACAGCAATGTTATTTGGTTCATAGTCGGTATGATCTACTTTACATTATTTACCAATATGACATTTTTTATACCCTCCACCATACAATGGAGGGTATATTAATTTTGTCATTCCGTTTGTAACTCCTCGAAATACTCATGTCAGACCCAACAAAGTATAAAATTTTGCACACATGTATATTTTGCCAGTAGGCAGGTTAAGTTCGTAAATGGGCCATGTAGGTCCAAGTTATCATAAAGCCCCCATATAACGGTACCTCCCGATATTCGGTATTTTTGCACACATGTATATTTTGCCAGTAGGCAGGTTAAGTTCGTAAAGGGGCCATGTAGGTCCAAGTTATCATAAAGCCCCCATATAACGGTACCCCCCGATATTCGGTATCTTGATGATTTTAGCGACATTATTCACCGGAGTTGTTTCAAATTTGGCATTTGAAGTTCGTAATGGATACTACATCCTAAGTCAAAAAATGAGTCATGTAGGTCCATGTCTTCATATAGCCCCCATATAACGGTACCCCCCGATATTCGGTATTTTTATGATATTAGCGACATTATTTAACGGAATCGTTCCAAATTTTGTATTTGAAGTTCGTAATAGATACTGCAGCATAAAACAGAAAATGGGCCACGTAGGTCCACGTATTCGTATAGCCCCCATATACCGTACCCCCCGATATTGGGTATTTTGATGATTTTAGCTACATTATAAACAGATTTTTCTTCAAGTTTCGCATTTAAATATTGTAATAACTTATGACAAAAGTTGCCTATGCAGGCCCAAGTCGTCGTATAAGCATTCGGTATTTTTAAGACTTTAACAGAATTTTTAACGGTTTTTTTTTTTTTTTTTTTTTTTTTTTTTTTTTTTGGAAATTGTCAAATTTGGTGGAGGGTATTAAAAGTTCGACCCGGCCGCTTTTTACTTGTTGTTACTGGAATACGCATGGTGGTGTAGAGTAACACATGGGACAGACTTTTGACTTTTCCTTAGTGTTTTTTTTTTTTCTTAAATAATTGTTAATCTAATCATACCCAAATTAAAGAATTCGAGTTACAATAAAAATTTAATATTATTATTTCAATATTATCCCGAAAATCCCCAGCCTAATATCCCAAAAACTGCTGTCAACTTTAAATACAATTAAAAGCATTGTGTTTATGATCGCCATTGTTGGTCCTTTTCCCCAAAAAGCTAAACATCAAATGTCCATAATCCTCTCATCGAATTTGCATTTACCCATTTTTGTGAGGAAGCTATGGCGGGGGATTATTTTTGTCCTTTTCACTTTTAGTATCGTTGCTCTAATTAATTTTGCGTTTCAAAATTTTGCTAATGTGTGTGAGCGAATGTGGATGTGTGTCTGTGTGTGTGTGCATGGCAACTGTTAATTAACGTATCCCTTTTTGAGAGGTTTTATGGTTTTACATAATTTTTGATGTAATGACTTACAAAGGAATCACATATATGAACAGTATGTTTGAGGAACATGTTTTAGGATATACTGATGTATGAACGTGGCAACATATGGGTGTTGGACAACACATATGTAAAAAGGGTGGTCAATATTTGAGTCGGGCCGAACTTTAAAAAGAAAAGAAAATAGCCGAACGATTTGGAACGAATTTTACAATTTTCATAAAAATGAATGAAGCAATTCCGGCGAATAATGTCGCTTAAATCACCAAAATACCGAAAATGGGGAAGTAACATTGTATGGCGGCTATACGAAGCCTTAGACCTGCACAGACAATTTTCTGCCAAAGGCTGTAGTATCCGTTACGAACTTCAAATACCAAATTTGAAACAATTTCGATGAATATTGTCGCAAAAATCATCAAAATATCGAATATTGGAAGGCACCGTTATATGGGAGCTATACCAAAACGTGGACCTACATGGCCCATTTTCAATACCAAAAGCCCTGGGAAGCTAGAGGGATTTCACCAGACGGATAGACGGACGGACATCGCGAACTGATTCTGATCAAGAATATAGGGTGAGATGAAAAAAGTGCAACCAACTTCAGACTGCTGTCATTTCTAATCCACTCGTCCGACAGCTGTTAAATTATTCCAGTGACAGCTCATTATGTTATTTACAAGCGTACAAAGGCATTTTGGTGAGAATTTTCCAGAAAAAAAGTTATTCGTGATGGAATTCAAGCGTGATAGTGTGATTTCTTTATATTTGACTGGAGAACCACAAGTGGCTATCGTTAGAGCACTCCAGCATTTAAATATGAATAAATCTTTTGTGTCTAGTACCTTCGCTCGTTACCGTGATACTGGTAGCGAAGCCCGACGTCAAGGAGCGACTTCGAAACCCACGTCGCAGTGGCCTAAAAATGGCTCGTGAGCTGATCATATCCCAATATTCCATTCGGCAATTATTGAAAAATGAGCTTACCTCGAGCCATTGAAATTCCAAAAAATGCAAGAATTTACACCGTAACAAAAAGAAAATAGACTCAAAAGAGCTCAAGTGTTGCTTCGCTTGGCCGAAAGTGGCGAACTGCCGAATTTGGTTTTCTCCGATGAGAAAACATTAGTTGTCCAGCAGTTTGTAAACAAACGAAATGATCGTGTTTACTTGCCAAAGAGGTTAGCTGAAAATGTGCACCTTCGGTTGGCCACCAGAACTCAAGCGCCGGCCATGGTGATGGTGTGGGCCGCCATAACAGCCAATGGTCGCTCTCCTCGCTCTCTCAGAATAAATGGAGAATATTATCGCGAAGATATTCTGGAGGGTGCATTACAGCCTTGGGCATGCAAACATTTTGGCCACAGACCTTGGACATTTCAACAGGGCTCAGCATCATCGCAAGCAGCACGCGCCACCCAAGAATTGTTGCATAATGTGGTTCCTCGTTTCATTTCCAGCGCACAATGACTACCAAAATCTCCGGATACCAATCTGTTGGACTATTGTGTCTGGAGTATTTTGGAAAGCAAGGTTGGCACTAAAAAATACCAAAGTGTCGATCACCTCAAGCAAACTCTCCGATGAGAAAATATTAGTTGTCCAGCAGCAGCAAAGGGGTCAGCTGAAAATTTGCACCTTCGGTGGGCCACCAGAACTCAAGCGCCGGCCATAGTGATGGTGTGAGCCACCATAACATCCGATGGTCACTCTCCGCTCGTATTAATCGACCGTGGCATCAGAATAGATGCCGAATATTATCGCGAAAATATTCTGGAGGGTGTATTAAAGCCTTGGGCACGCAAACATTTTGGCCGCAGACCTTGGATATTCCAACAGGACTCAGCACCATCGCACTCAACACGCGCCACTCAATGGCAACAAAATGAGGTTCCTCACTTCATTTCCAGCGCACAATGGCCACCAAAATCTCCGGATACCAATCCGTGGAACTATTGTGTCTGGTTATTTTGGAAAGCAAGGTTGGCACTAAGAAATACCAATGTGTCGATCACCTCAAGCAAGCGCTTCGCCGGGAATGGGCCAAAATAGCGCAGAGCAACATTCGGGCAGCGTGTGACGGTTTCATTTGCCGTTTGAAGGCCATAATTCGTGTCAAAGGTGACTAATTCGAACGAATCTAAACTTATTCTAAAATTTGATGCTATTTTCTTTTCATTCAATAAAATTAAAAAAAAAATTAAAAATTATGGCGTTTGACTTTGTTGAATATATGTTTATTCAGATGTAGTTACCAATTGTTGGGTGGTGGGCAATACTTAGTTATAAGGGCTGGTCTATATAGGGGTCATCTTTTTTAGGTATAGTTTTTTCGCATTTAAAATTAATATTGAAATATTTTTAACACATTAAATGTTTGTTGTAATTTAGTAAATATTGTGTATAACCGCGGATCGTTGAAAAGTTTAAAGCCAATTGCCTCACCCTTTATGCTGGAACATTTTCACTGTCATAACCCAAAATTTCAATTAATTTTAGAATGGTTAACCATGAACACATACACACACATAAAATTTCTGACAAAACATTGAAATAGAACTGCAGTTGTTGCGGGAAGTGGTATTCTAATGCGGCTATTATTCCGAATTATTGTTGCAGAAATAAATACGAAAAAATATTAGATAAAATTTAACATTTAAAATTTTCTTCTCTTTCCTTTCCAGATCCGATTTGGAGCACTTGCGATCCGTCTTTATGGCCGTGGAAAACGGCGACTTGGGCATGCTGAAATCGTTGGGCATCAAAGACTCTGAACTGGGCGATGTGAAGTTCTTTTTGGAGAAATTGGTCAATACAGGTTTCTTAGATTGAGTAGCACCAGATCCGGCTTCTGGATTTTATTATGCACATGCCCAGCCCATCAATCCAAGTTTTTATTCATATTTAGGCACTCCCTATGACAATTACTATTAAATCGCATGCGGTGTATCGAGTAATTGTTATATAGCAAGTGATTAAATATCAATAAAAACCGAACATAAACATTATTACAGCATTACAGAATTTTCATAGAAAAAAAAATTGCAAAAAAATCACAAAAAAATAGAAATTTTATTTTGGGAACTCTTTTAAAATAAATTATTTTTCTAAAATTAAATTTTAAGTTTTTTATTTATTTTTTCCATTGGAAATAAGAGCTTATTTGGATGGTTTCTTTATTTTTAATTCAATTCATTCAATGATTTTTATTTTTCAAATTTAAAATAATTTTTATAATTTTTTTTTTTTAATTTTTAAACTCTTAATAAATTTTTTATTTATTTTTCCATTGGATATAAAAGCTTATATCGGTGTTTGATATATATTTAATACAATTAATACAATTAATTTTAGATTTCAAAGTAAAAATATTTTTTTAAATTATTTCATTAAATATTTTATTTATTTTAATTTCGTTATTTTTTATTTTTTTAAGCTCTTTTAAAATTCATTAATATTTTTAAAATTAAATTTTAATTTTTTAATCAATTTTTCCACTCGAAATTAAAGCTTACATCGGTGTTTTATATATTTTTAATGCCATTCATTCAATTATTTTTGGATTTCAAATTTAAAATATTTTTTTTTTTAATTATTTTATAAAATTGGTAATTTATTTTATTTTTTTATTAATTTTTATTTAATTTGTTAACATCATTTTTTTATTCTGTTTTTCATAAAAATGATTTTTTTTTTAAATTATACCCTCAGCCATATTATTACAGATGTTATATATCATTTGATACGACCAAAACGTGTCTCATCGAAATAACGACTGTTGACCCTAGGTCTCTTTGGACCAAATCTGTTTTAGAACATTTGGATTGGATCTAGGGGTGTCTGTCCGTCCGCCTGTCTGGTGGATGCGCCCGCTAACTCTCGAAGGGAATATCCGACTTGCTCGAAACTTGGTACATCGCAATATTTTTGTGAAACTTAGCTCGAGATCAGAGATGGGCATTATTGGTCCACGTCATCAAGTACCTCCCCCACACAACATTTTCATAGAAAAAATTGTTCTATACAAAAGGAAATGAGCATCCAATTTTTTGCAACCTACTCCATTAAGTACCTCCCCCACAGAGGGTTACATTTTTTGAAAGATTAGAACTCTTACAAACTGTAAAAAGAAGAGTCCGATTACCTTCATATTTCGCACATCCCAATATTTCTACCAACACAAGATCTGATATGAAGTATGGATAAAATGGTCCACTTCTACTGGTACCTCCCACCCATAAATTCCAAAATAATCATCCAATCTCCTTCAAACTCGACAAATCCCAATATTTTTACGAATTCCAGATTTGATGAGAAAAAGGCACATATCGCTATAGTCCTTCTGGTACCTCCCCCACAGAGGGGTCAAATTTTTGAATAACCAAATAGGGCATAAAGTGAGAAATAAGAGTCTAATTGTCTTCAGATTTTATACATCTTAATAGTTCTATCAACACAAGATCTGCTGTGAAAATGGCATATATTGGACCACTCCTTCAGGTACCTCCCACAAAGTTGTCAAAATTTTCAATAACCAAAACGCTCTTAAAACGCAAAATAAGCATCGGACTGCCTTCAAATTCAAAAATCGCAAGACCTTCTGTAAGGGTGGGATATATCGGTCAACGTTTTATGGTATCTCTCCCATACAGATGTCAAAATTTTAGATAACCAAAACGCGCATAAAATAGGAAATAGGCAACCGATTCCCTTAAAATGTCACACATCTTAATATTTATATTAACACAAGATATGCTGTGAAAATGGTATAAATGGGACCCCTCCTTCTAGTAGCTCCCCCACAAAGTGCTCAACATTTTAAATAACCAAAACGCTCATAAATTCGAAATTAACAATCCGACTGTCTTCAAATTTGTCATATCCAAATATTTTTATTAACACAAGACTTGGTGTAAAGATGGAGTACATCGGATCACTCGTTCTGGCACCTTCCCCACATAGGGCTCAAAATTTTGAATAACCAAATAGGATATAAACATAGGATATAAACATCCGATTCTCTTCAAATTTCACAAATCTCAATATTTATATCAGCACAAAACCTGCTGAGAAGATGGAATTTATTGGTCCACTCCTTCTAGTACCTCCCGCACATAGGGATCAAATTTTTGAATAACCAAAACGCTTATTGAAGATGAAATAAGCATCCGATTCTTTTCAAATTTGCCACATCTCATAATTTTTATTAACACAAGATCTGATGTGAAGTTGGGATATGTCGATTCACTCCTTCGGGTACCTCCCCCACATAGGGGTCAAAATAATAATCAAATATAACCAAATCACTCATAAAATAGGATATAAACATCCAATTTTCTTCAAATTTCACAAATCTAAATATTTGTATCAAAACGCCTCCGTGAACATGGGATATATATCTGTCCACTTCTTCAGGTTCCTCCCCCACAAAAGGGTCAACATTTGGAATAACCAAAACACTCATTAAAGGGGTAATAGGCATCCGATTCTTTTCAAATTTTACACATCTCAATATTTTTTTAACACAAGATCTGATGTGAAGATGGGATTTATTGGTCCACTCCTTCTGGTACCTACCCCACAAATGGGTTTAAAATTTTGAATTACCCAAACGCTCTTAAAATATTATTGAGCAACATATTTCCTTCAAGATCGCCACATGCCAATGTTTCTATCAAAACAAGAGCTGATGTGTAGATGGAAAATATCGGATTTCAAATATAACTTCTATATGGATCATCGTCCGATTTCAATTTTATTCGGAGCCACTTGTGTAATATTGGTCCAAATAAGATGTATTTCGGCACATCCCATCGAATTCAGTCTAGAAGCAAATACTTCAAATTTGCTGAAAATCGGTTCAGATTTATAGATATAGCTCTCATATATATGTTTCATCCGATTTGGTGTTTGAGTCCTTCATATTCGCTATATGCACACCACAACAATGGTATTTGGCACCAGATATGAGATAGACTTCAGAAATACCTATACCAAATTTTATCGAGATCGGTTAAGATTTGGATATAGCTTCCATATATATCTTCATACGATTTCAGGTTTATTGTGTACCAAATGTGAAATATCCAGCCAAATTTGGTGGATTTCGACACATTTAACCAAATTTATTCTGGAAGCAAATACGACATTTAACCGAATATATCCTGGAAGCAAACACGACATTTAATGAGACTCTGTTCCCATATATATATAAAAACTTCGACCCCCCTTAAAACGTCAACAGTTGGAATAATCGTGGCTTACGTCAAAATATATTTAAATAAATGGACATTGGCTGAGGGTATACAGCTGTCGGCAAAACCGACTGAGACTTTTTAACTTGGGGTTTTAATTATTTAAATTTATTTTTGATTATATTAAGTTCTTAAAAAAATGTTTTTAATCATCTAATTTTTTAATATTTATATTTTTTGTAATTTATTATTTTAAAATAAAAATATTTTAAAATTATATTTTTTACCTTAAATAATTTTTTAATTTAATATTTATTATTTTTAATATTTTTTTTTATATTTATCTTATATTAAATGTTGGAAACTTTTATTTTGAATTTGATAATATATCCTCTTAGTACTTTTTAATTGAAGTTATAAATTTAATATTTTTTCTTTAATTAAATATTTAATATTTTATTTCGATTTTATGTTCATTAGCTAATTTATTTATTCATTCATTTACTATTTTTTATAGCTATTCATTTACTTTTTTAAATATTTTTATTTATTTGTTCATTTATTTATTATATATTTTCGGTTAAACAAATACTTTTATATACTCAAATTTATTTATTTATTTATTTATTTTTTTTTTTTTTTTTTTTTGTTATTTAATGCATTTTTATTTATTTTTTTTATTATATTTCTGTTTAACAAATATCTTTATATATTCAAATTTATTTATTTTTTTTTTTTTTTAATGTAATACATTTTTATTTATTTAATTTTTTTTATTTTTATATTAATTTTATATTGAATATTTTTATTTTTTTTTTTCATAATTTTTTATTTGTTTTTTTTTTTTTTATTTAACTAGATATTTAAACCTTTTATTTTGAATTTTTATTTATTAAATAAAAATTTATTTCTTTCCTTAAAAATTTATTTTTAATTATTTTTTTTACTGTAAAACCTTTTATTAATTTTAATAATATTATATTTCTTTATTTAATTCAATATTAATTTTTTTTATTTTAAGTTCTTATTTAATTAATTTATTTCTTTATTCATTTTTTTATTCATTCATTTATTTATTCATTAACGTATTTATTTATATATCATTATATCTTTTTATTTTTAACCTTCCTCCTTCTTCTTCTGCCGCCATCTGCAGCTTCTTGTCTATCAGCAAAACAATTTTTTTGTTAATTATAAAAAAAATTCAAAATTCACTCTTCTTCTACTTCGTCTATTCGGTCACACAACAAAAAACAAACTTCATTATATTTCAATGACAAAAAAAGTAACAACATCTATATATCAAGAACAAATAAAAATCTCAATTCAAATGTGTAAATTTGAATAAAATGCGGAAGCAGGATCGGCAAGAACAATGAAAAAAACAAAAAAAATTAAAATTATTTATTTTAAAACTAGACCCTTTAAAACAAATCCCCCGTTTTTAGTGTTATAGTAATTAATTGCAAAAAAAAAATTAAAAAAAACATATACATGTATACAAAAGAAAAACACAAAAGATATTATTAAATATATATTTTCCCCTTTATTCTTTTAAAAATGTCATTATATGTTTCAAACTTGCTTTTATGGCCTCCTAGTAGGCAAAACGAAATGGTTTTCTTTAATTCAGTGGTTTTTCTTTATTAAAAAATCTAAAAAATAAAATAAGAAATAAAACTCACCATGAAAATACCAAGAAGAAAACTACTAAATGCTATCAGTACTAAACCTTCCATATTACTTATAAAAATTAAAAAAAATAAATATAAATATTTTTTTTTTAATTAAAATTTTGTTGTAGAAAAAAAAAAACACAAAAACTTAGAATATGTTAGTATTAGCACCCCAAAAAAAAGCCCTGCAGCTATATGGAAAATTTAAGATTCC